CTACGGGGCGCAGCACTGCTCGACTCGAGGGGGCGGAGGTTGTCGTCGGAGAGTCGCCGGTCGTTCGCGTTCGTCTGAAGGGACTTGGTGGCCCGAGGCGCCTTGCCGCCCCGTCCGCCTCAGTCAGTCAGCCCCCTAGCGCCGCTTCGCAGAGCAGCACTGGAGAGCCCAGTTTTGCATCGCGGGACCCTGCGATCCGCGCAGCGTCCGTCGCCCGCGCATCCTGTGCGTGCCTGGCCCCCCTGCGCACTCCTTTCGAGGGCTCTGTTGTGCTGGGGCCCCCACTTACTTCCTCCTCTGCCTCTTCCTCGGCGCTGCTTGCAATTGTTCGGGCTAGGCTCCGCTCGGAGGAGGCTTCTCTCGCTGAGGAGGCGATGGCCGATGGGGCTGTCGTCTGGATCAGACTGAGGAGGGAAGGCGCGAGCTCGGTTGTGTCGCCATTTTGGGCGTCCTGTCGTGCTTGTTTCTCGGGCCTATGCCTCCGTGCTTAGGCCCTCGAGCGCCAGCGTTGCCATTTTCTCCCGCACCGTGCGGCGCGCTCGTTTGCCCGGCCCGCAGTGTCCGCCCTGCAGGCCACTGTGCCAGTCCTCGCTGGTGCCTGCAGCTTGCGGGTCTCCGCAGCTGCATCAGGGACTTCATGACTGGGGGCAGAGGGCGCAACGGCAAAATCCCCCCCCCCGCTACAGTGGAGAACCCATGCCAAGAAGCGCCCTGCTGGCCTCCAGGACGTCTCGGCAGAAATCGGGGCGGAGGTTCTTCGTCGCCTTCGGCCTCTCGGGGCCCTCGCCGGGCCTCGGGGCCGTCAAGAAACGACTCGGGATGAACAGACCCGGTTCCGGGGAAGCCGTCGGGGGGTCGGGGGCCCGTGCTTCGAACGAAAATCGAGACGTCGGACGTCTGGGCCCGTGACAGGAGGTGCCCTGGAGGTTTCTTGGGCTTCGATGGTTTTGCGATGAAGAGTGCGCGACGGCCCCGCGCCGGAAGTCAGTGGGCGCCCCGGGGGTCTCGGGGTTGGGCTTCTCGTGGAAGGTGCCTTGTGGTCGAGCCCCTGTTGCGTCGTGAGGTTTGGGGTGAACGTGCGAGCTCTCGCGCAGGTCCGCGCGGATGTCTTAGATCGGCGCTGGGCGCCCCGCGCGCCGGTCCGAGAGGCCCGCGCGGAGCTCCGAGAGTGTGCGCGCTGGGCGGGCCTGGGCGCTGGCAGCGTTGTGTTCAACGCCCACGCTGGCCTGGTCGGGGACAGCGCGCGTCGCCGCCTGCGCCCCCCGCGCGGGGTGTTAGTGGGGCGGCGGCCCTGGCTCGGTCGCCGCGCCCATCGTTGGGGCGCTGCGCCCGAGGTCGGGTACGCGAGGTCGGTCCGCCGAGATTTGTGGGGGGCGCGCGCCTGCAGGGTGCTGCGTGGGCACAAATCGCAGGTCGGCCGACGGGCCCCGCGGCGCCGCGGCGCGTGCGACGCGCGACGCATGCAGCCCGACCGCAGGGCGCGCCGCCCGCGCTCGGTGGTTGGTGCTTCTGCGTTGTCACGTGCGGGCCTGCCGCGGGCGCTCGCGCAGGCGCGCCGCGGTGATCGCGCCGGGGCGGGTCGCGGCGCGCCCTGGCGCCGTCTGCTTCGCAGGTTTCGTATTATTGCTTCGCGCCGCGCTCTCGGGGCGCCCGCCCGCGGCGCGGGCCCTCGGTCGGTGGCGGACCTTTTTCTGCCTCGCCCGCCCGCCCTGGGGTTCAACGCTCAGGCTGGCCTGGTCGGGGGCAGCGCGCGTCGCCGCCTGCGCCCCCCGCGCGGGGTGTTAGCGGGGCGGCGGCCCTGGCTCGGTCGCCGCGCCCAGCATTGGGGCATTGCGTCCGAGGTCGGGCACGCGAGGTCGGTCCGCCGAGATTTGTGCATTATTTGTTGCTCCTCGAGCGCGTGGGCCCGCCAGGCAGAGCCAGCTCGTATCCTCTATCCTCCATCCGCATCCTCTGTCTTTATTGCTCCGTTTCCTGACGCTGCTCTTTTTGCGAGTCTCCTGGCTCGCCCATGAAAAACGTGTTTCCTGGCTCGCCCATTAAGAAAGTCTTTGTCCGCCTCTGGCGACCCCGTTGACTCGCTGTTTGCCCCGAGCCCGCCCATCGCGGGGCCATCTTGGCCTCGGGCCTTCCCGCAGCGCGGGAACGACCAAACAATATAAACTCGTCTTCCTCCTCCTCCTCCTCCTCCTCCTCCTCCTGCAGCTGCCATCCGGGCTTGAGAGATTGTCAGGGCAGCAAACGCGAACGCGCAGCCATTGCACAGCACGTGGAAATAGTAACCTGGGCAGAAGGCCCGCATGGCAGCAATGACATGGATGCCTTCTCTCGTCGCGTCTCGAGTGCCCGCCCCGCCTGCCCAGGCTGAGGCGCCCCCTGCAAGGGCGCCCCCGGGCGCGGCGTCGCGCTGACAGACGACTACGTCTACACATAGCGCGCGCGGCCTGCCAGTTCGCGGGGATGCGCCGCGTGACGGAGGACGTAACCGACGAGGAGTGCGCCCCCTACTACGAGTCCCTGTCCAACGACTGGGAAGACCACATGAGCGAGAAGCCTTTCACGAACGAGGACGCAGACGAGATGATCTACGAGACGGGCATGGACGGCGACGACCAGCACAGCCACGAGGAGAAGATGAAGGGGGCATTGCACGAGTGGGGGCAGCCCACCGCGAACAAGCCGCTGTGTATGCGCAAGGCGGAGGACGAGATCTCAGGTACACACGAAGAACTACAACTCCGATTGGACGAACTAGAGACCGAGCTGAAGACTAGTACAACTACTTGCGCGGCCGAGGAACCGATCTTCCGTTTCGGGCACTGCCGCGCCTCAAAGTCAGGGGACGAGACGATCAGTCTGAAGGAGAACGACGATCGCAAGAAGCAGGGCCCAAACGACAACTGCTACGCCGCGGACGAGCTGGGAACCGAACCGCCCACACTTCTTTCGCGCGTGGCGGACGAGAAGCTTGTCGCGGACGCGGGCGCCGACGAGACGATCTACTAGGCGGATGTGGGCGGCGACGGCCAGCACAGCCACACGGAGAACGAACGAAAGATGAAGGAGGCATCGCACGAGCGGAAGCAGCTCACCGCGAACAAGCCGCTGTGGTGGATGCACAAGGCGGAGGACGTAACCAATGAGGAGTGCGCCTTCCTCTACGTCTCCGTGAAGCACTGCCTGGAGATATCCGCGGAGATCGCGGAGAAGGGGGGCGACTACACGAAGATCTACAAACAGATCTGCAGACGCCTCAGGCAGGACGTGCCCGAAGAACCTCGTCGCACCGAAATCGAGGCACCGATGCGCTGCCGCGCATCAAAGTCAGGGGGCGAGATAATCAGTCTCGGGGAGAAGGACGATCGCAAGAAGCAGGTCCAGAACCACATCGACTCCACCACGGACGAGCTGGGAGACAAGGATGAGGATGACGTGACTCTCGGGCGCGTGGCGGATCTAGTCTATGACCTGGTCACCGAAAAACTGAAGACTGGACGTGCGGCGACGCGGACCTGGCTGCAGCAGTCTATCGTAGAACTAGTCGGCCAGTTGGTAGAGGACTGGAAGACAATCCGCGTTTTCGAGTTGGACGAGAATGGCGCGGTCACTGCAGCACTAACGACAGAGGGTCAGATAGCTGCAGCTCCTTGTCTTTCGGCTCCTCGTCTCGCTCCTCCTCCTCGCAACGAGGCAAGCAACCGCAATAGGCACGGCCGCAACTGACAAGAGGGCACCCGTGATGGCGGGTGCCACCCCGCCCAGAGGCCCTCGCGTGGGGTATACGGTGCGGGTAGGGCCCGAGCGCCTTCTAGCGCCTGCTCCCCCAGGCAGAAAGTGAACCCAGCTAGGCCGAGCTAATTTTCCATTGGTACTCAGCGTAGCGAGAGCATCGGTCACCACGACATCGGCCCGATAGCTCGATCGATCAATCCTCCTCCTGCTCCTCCTTGTCCTTGTCACCCGCCTCCTCCTCCTCCTCGTCCTTTTCCTCCTCCTCCTCTTCCTCCTCCTCCTCCTCTTCCTCCTCCTCCTCCCACTCCTCCTCCTCCTGCTCCTGCCCCTCCTCCTCCTCCTCCTCCTCCTCCTCTTCCTCTTCCTCCTCCTCCTCCCACTCCCGCTCCTTCCTTCCTCCCAAAACCGTGGGAATTCTGATGTTGACGCTGTTTTGGTTTCGGGAGGTTGTTTAGGGGGCCGTCTTGGAGTCTCGCTGAGCTTCTCGAGGTGGGCGAGATTGAGACCAGCGTGGTCTACGTCGGGGCCGTCTTTGGTGGCCCAGTTTTGCCCTGGAGTTTTTTTGCGGGCCTCTGAAGGCCTGGCAAGGGCTTGACGAGCTCCCCTGGGTTCTGGGCGTTGCAGTTTTTCACACCCTGCGTTTCCGCCCATCGTCGGGCCCCGGGACCATCGCAGATCGATCCGGCTCGACAGGTGCCGCAGAACTCTTGGCTCTGGGGCCCCAGTTGTAATTCTTCGTGGTGCCGCATTTTTTTCGCAATCTCGGATCTCAGGGCCCCCTTCAAGAAAACAAGCAGGAGTTGTGGCTCCTGGGGACGGGGGCCACGGGGAGGCCGGCCACACGCAGAGGGGGACCAGGGGCAGGGGGGAAGGCTTCTTGGAAGCGCCCCTGCTTTTCAGAAGGTGCGCGCAATGGAAATTGATGGTTTGTGTCGAGGAGCCTGAGATGTTCGAAAGATGTTCGGGGGTGTTGGTTTGAGATGTTCGAGGGATGTTCGGTTGACGGGTGGTGCGAAACACCCGTAAACCGACCACAAAACCTATTATGAAACCCAACATTTTTCGAAGATTTCTGAAACATCTACAAGATAGATCATTGGCATACAAGTATTATCTATAGAAGTAGGGCCGGCGACTTCTAAGAGGCAGCCTCCTTCTAAGAGGCCTTCCCCCCTCCTCTTGGCCCCTTGCTCGCGCCACCAAGCAGGGGTGCATCCGAGCATCTCACGCGCGGTCCCAGGCCCCGGCTTGCGCAGGGGTCGTCGGAC